GTCTAGCACATTTACTTGTTTAAATCATTGAACGTTATATCTTACTTTCATGATCTCACCATAGAGTAACTGCAGAGTGTTAAACTGTCATTAATCTTTATAAAATTGAAATATTGGTGATAATGATAACACTAATGCTTCATATAACAGTGTTCATATGTATAATTAAAACTGATTCGTGGTAACTGACATAATGATATCAAAATTACAAATTATTGTATTTTGTAAAATAACACTAAGAATGGCATAACTATGACGACTGATTATAATTAAAACAATAGCTAAAATAAAAATGATTGTAATAATGATGATAATAAAATTAGGCATACATAATACGAGTACATATATGCACATATAGACACACCCACTATAGTTACAATACTCACGAGTACTTTCCAGAGGCAACGATGGCGCCCTCAGGGCCGTCAGGTGAGCCGGACTCCGAGGCGGTGATGCCGTCGCCAGTCTCGATGTCGAAGTTGTACCTTCCGTCGTCCTCGTGGACTCGGTCGTCCCTCAGGATGGGCACGAAATCAGCTGCCTCAAGTCCGCCCCTTGTGGAGGGGTCCGGAAGAGAGTAGCCAATCTCAGGGGCCGCGGCGGCCACGGCAGTGAGGGCGACGAGAATCGCCTGTGGAAAAGCAAAGATTAAGAACCTGGTTGCACATACTATATATGTAGATATACATATAACTTTTTTTGTTGTGTGTGGATCGTACTTTTCTAAGTGTGACTATCACACTATGTCCATGGCTCCGGAAGAGAGTGGCCATTCTGAGGGGCCTGGCAGCCACAACAGTGAGGGCAGTGAGAAAAAATAGAGAGCATGGGCGTGGTGTTTGCACTTCATTTTATACTGCCGCAGTTACTAATCCATCTCCTCCTCTCTCTATTTTTCTCTCTCTCATTCTAAGTATATATATAATACATTTATTCATGTTTGCGTGTGTGTGGATGGTAATAATCTGTATGTGACTATCATATTCAGATTACCACAGCCAGGTATAAGCACAACTTCACAAAACCATACAGAAGCTTCACTCACAAACTTCATGGTGTGCAGAGAAGTAATGAACTGATGATCTGGTTATAGAGCCGAAACTTTTATATACCGAGGGAAAAGATGCCCTTGAATGGAGTCGCCTTACCCTTCACCTCATATGTTGCTGCTCTTCATGGCTATACGCCTTCAATGTTTATCTTACGAAAAAATGATGTAATAGGAAAAAAAATACTCGTAAACCCCAATTAGGCGATGTGTTTGATACAAAGTAAAGGTATTCAGATTGCAATGACTTACTACATCGTCAATTGAAACGTACTAGAGTATTGATATGATGTTATTTATTACATACATTCATTGCTAACCTTACGTTAACGTAAATTTAAATATACCATAAGCAAGTTTAAAGGAAGATTAGAAGCGTGTTTCTCATGAGATAAATGTGAATTCAAAAAGAGGGTATAGATAAATAACTACGTTGATAAATCAAATGATAACTCTGAGGAATATTAATATCATTACGCTTACTTTATCATAGCCATTTCTACATAATAAAAGGGGGTGTACCTGTATACTTATACACGAGCACATATGTGTGTTTCTGTTTGCAAGTGTGTGTATAATGGACGTATGCATATTTATATTGTGAGAGAGATGTATATAGAGAAAAGGGAAATATATGCATAAATGCACATACAATGCACCCATATGTGTGTGGCATTAATTAAGGATAAATAGTGCCCCCTCCCCTTGTGTGTGCGTGATCTACCTATCTGGCTGTATATGTATATATGTTTATGTACAGCAACTTTGCTAACTCGTTTTAAGCAAACTAGAAGGGTTTATTAGTTTATCTATCAGCTTACTTTTTCTGCCAAGATACATGCGAGTTGGGCGGTATTTCAGCATTTTTTCTCCCAAACAACAGTTGGGAAGAGGATGTTGTGATCCTGAATATGTGTGTGTCTGTGTGTGTACATTTATGTACGAGTATGTATGAATGTATTTGTATTACGCGTATATGTGTAAACGTTCTGCATGAGGAAGGAAATGGATAAATACAGAAACAGACTTACACTTTGTTTTGCCCTCTCACTCAACTACATGTTTTGCATCACGAGTAGTTTTGCCCTTGGTTGATTAGACTTCCACCCCGTCCTGAAAGCAGTAATATCTAGCATATTTCTGATTAAATTTCTAATGAGGTCTTGCCGTGTGTTTGCTTTATTAATATGTTTATACGCACATATATGTATATGTACATATATATGTGTATATATGTGTGTGTGTGTTTGTACATGTATGCATGTATGTGCGTGTGTATATATACATATATATACATAAATATATGTGTATCAATACATGCATATATGCATACAAATATACATAGATACACTCACACAGAAATATATATAAATATTCCTTTACATATCTATTTGTTTATATGCTTATGTATTATAAATATATATATATATATATACATATATATATATATATATATATATTTATACACATATACATATATTTATACATATATATACTAATTCTTTTGTATATACATATTTATATGCATATATATGTACTATTTTTTGTAATTATATACATATATATGTATAAATACATATATATATTCATTTATTTATTTACATACATATATATGTATATTTGTAATATATATATATGTATGTGTGTGCTACGTATATACAAACATATATGTTTACATATACAAAAATGTACACATATGTATACATATATACAAATGTATACATATATACATGATTATATATATGCACATGTATGTGTATGTGTGTGCGTATGGACATGTGCATATATGCACACACATATATATATGGATATATACACTCACAATGTGTACACATAACTATATTCATATATATAAGTACATATGTTTTTGTATGCGTATGTATATACATGTCTATCTATATATATACATATATACATATATAAATATTCAGGTGTGTTTGTCTTCTTATCACATTTAAATATGAATTCTAATAGGGAAATCAGGATTTCGGGCAATCTTTCAGATCTTGCGGATAACAGAACATTAGATAAAGTAGTAATAATCACAAAAAAGTGTGCATTCATTATTATAAACAAGCTGTTGAAACACACGTCATTCATTCCACGAATAAGTTCTTTACATATGGGGGGAATCGGTTCTGTACATGACTCTTCTTTCCTTTTCAAAGACATCTACTGGGGCCTCTGGTAGAGCTGGGAAGGCGCAGCGTCCCTGGTCTCCGCCGTGGCAAGAGCGTATTCCTCAGCTGCTTTTGCGATCTGCCTGAGCACGAACTCGGGAATCTCATGAGGGGATTCGGGAGCCACTGGCAGGTGGTCACCCTCGGGCTGGAAGCCGTCTTCGTTGGCGACCTCAATCAGGCTCCCGTCGGGAGCAGTGTACCTGGAAGGGAAAGCTTCTTAAATGGTAGCGAAGGATAATTCTAGTTCTGTGATGTCACCATAAAGGGACTGACAGTAGTGTCAAACTATCATCACGATCCGAATCAAAGTTTTTAATATGTAAACATTAATTTAGGTATAATTGAAATATTGATCGTAACAATATTAAAGTCATTAGTGTTTCTTATAATAGCATGGGTTATACATACCGTCATTGATATTGATGTATAGTTATAGGAACAATTTATTAATGATGAAGATTAAAAGAGTAACACTAACCGTTGCATTAATTTTCCTACTTATGATAAAACAATATCTATGACTTAGATAATAGCTTATTATAATAATGATTACATAAAATATACACATGATACGAGTACACATATTCACATACACACACATACTAAAGTTACAATACTCACGAGTACTTTCCAGAGGCAACGATGGCACCCTCAGAGACGTCAGGTGAGCCGGACTCCGAGGCGGTGATGCCGTCGCCAGTCTCGATATCGTAGTTGTACCTGCCGTCGTCCTCTTGGACTCGGTCGTCCCTCAGGATGGGCACGACCTCAACTACCTCAAGTACGCCCTTGTGGAAGGGTCCGGTAGAGAGTAGCCATTCTGAGGGGCCGCGGCGGCCACAGCAGTGAGGGCGACGAGAATCGCCTGTGGAAAAACAGAGAACATGGACGTGATATTTGTACTTTTTTATATTGCCGCAGTATGCATTTAGTTACTAAACCCATCTCTCCCTCTCTTTCTCTTGCCTTTTTTTTCTTTTTACGTATACATCTACACTCACAAACTTCATGGTGTTCAGAGTAGCAGTGAACTGATGATCTGGTTATGAAGTCGAGACTCTTATATACCGAGGGAAAAGCTGCCCTTGAATGGAGTCGCTTTACCCTTCACCTCATATGTTGCTGGTCTTCATGTCTATACGTCTTCCATGTTTATCTTGCGAAAGCATAATGTAACAAGGAAAAAAAAATACTTATAAACCCCAACTAGGTGGTGTGTTTGATACAAAGACACGCATTCTGGTATGATGTTACTCCTTTCAGACATCCATTGCTAGCCTCACGTTAACGAAAATTTGAATATGTCATAAGTAAGAATAACAACAAAGAAAAAGTAATTGAGAAGTGTTTCTCAGATGAACGTGAATTTGAAAAGATATAATTTACATGGATAGCTACACAGGTAAATTACATTCTGGTTTCACTGAAGAATATTAACCATGGCTACGTCTACATAAAAAGGGGGTTTACCAGTATACTTGCACACACACACGCACATATATATATGTGCGTTTGTGGTCGTGTATGTATATATGTATGTATATTATGTGATAGATATGAATAGGAGAGAGATGGGGAGGGGAATATACATAAATATACACATAGTTCACCTATACACGTGTGTGCATACACTTATTAGTTGCTTCTATTTATTAAGGATAATTAGTATCCCCTCCCGCAGGTAATCTGTATCTCGCCATCGGTTTGTCTATATATACACATCAGTGTGTGTTTATATATGTTATTAGTTACTTCCCGAATAATTTACTTCCCCTGCTAAGATACCTCCAAGCCGGAATTTTCAGCAATATTTCTCCTGAACAGGAGTTGGGAAGAGGTCTAAATTCTGCTGTGCCATTAAAAAGGCTTTTGCGATGCTGAAAATATAGATGTGTATTTATGTGACTATGAATATATGAATGTATGTATGTATTTATAGGATGTTGCGCGTGTATTTCTAAGCTTTCTTTGCGATACTGTATAAGGAAGGATACTGATAAATGCAGAACCACACTTACATACATATCATTTTCAATCACTTTGTTTTGCCCTCTCATTCAACTACATGCTTTGCACCACGAGTTTTGCTCTTGGTTGATTAAATTTGCACCTCGTCCTGAAAGCAGTAATATTTAGCATATTTCTGATTAAATTTCTAATGAGGTCTTGCCGTGTGTTTGCTTTATTAATCTGTTTATACACACACACATATGTATATGAAGTCTTGCCGTATTTTTGCTTTGTTTATCTGTTTCTTTACTCATGTGTATGCGTGTATGTTGCGTATACATATATATACGCGATATATATATATGCATATGTATATGTGTAAATATATATTTACACATATATGCGTGTATGTATATATATTCTATATGTATATATATACATATGAATAAATATATCTGTACATATATGCATATATACATATATATACATACATAAAAGCACAGACACATACACACACGTATGTGTGTGTGTGACAATGTCAGTGTGAGTTTGTGTGTGTCCGCGCGCGTGTATGAATAAATATGTGCATATACATATATATATACATACACAGACACATACATTTATATCATATATACATATGAAAATGAATATGTGTGAAAAGTGAATGTGTATATGTATTCACTTTAAATATAGATTCTATACTTTCAGGCCTATCTCTTAGAACTATTAGATACACTAACAATAAATAAAGCAGTAATACTCTTCCTATTTCAGGTAAAAAGACTTTTCTCTACCAGCGATCGGAGAAGCTACCAACAAGCTTCAATTGACCATTGCCAGCATATACTAAGAGCGAAAATTGATATAAGTAGGTAAATATATATACATATGTATGTGTTTGTGTGAATATGACATGTTTATATATATATATATATATATACATATATATAGGGTAAAAAAAAAAAAAAAACACACACAATGCACAAACTGAATTTATTAAAAATGAGACAACGGTTTCGAAATCCTCCTGGATTCCATCTTCAGGTTTGAATATGAAATCCAGAATATCGAAACTATTGTCTCCTTTCTAATAAATCAAGTTTGTGCATTGTGTTTTCTTTTCTACCATTCTATCAACCCGGTAGAATATATTACCATTCATAGATGTACATATATATATACACACGCGTGTGTGTCCGTATAACCTCGCGTTGTAATCATATCATTAATACGAAATTAATTTGTGCATATAGAGTTTTCTGTGCCTCATGATTCATAAAAAATAGGCTTAATATATTTACAGATACAACCTTTTTTCTTGAAGTAGAATAGGAAATCAGATGAATAGAAAATACAACAAAGCAATGTGCATTATTTATTATAAATAAGCTGTTCAATCACACGGCATTCATTTCGCGAATAAGTTATTTACACATGGGAGGAATCCGTTTTGTACATGACTTTTCCTTTTCAAAGACGTCTACTGCGGCCTCTGGTAGAGCTGGGAAGGTGCGGCGTCTCTGGCCTCTGCCGCGGCAAGAGCGTCTTCCTCAGCTGCCTTTTCGATCTGCCTGAGCACGAACTCAGGAATCTCATGAGGGAATTCAGGAGCCACTGGCAAGTGGTCACCCTCGGGCTGGAAACCTTCCTCGTTGGCGACGTATGTGACCTCGATCAGGCTCCCGTCGGGAGCAGTGTACCTGGAAAGGAAAACTTGTTATTAGCCGAATCAACGATATTTCACAACCTGAATCGAAGTTTTTAATATATAAACATTAATTTAGGCATAACTGAAATGCTAATGATGGTAACAATAGTAACGTCACTGCTGCTTCTTATAACAGTGTAGGTCATACATGCCGTTATTGATAATGATGTATGGCAACAGCCATAATAATAAGGTTATTAATGATGAAATTTATAAAAGAAACACTAACCAGTGAATTACCATCGCTAAGAATGATAATTATATCCATGACTTAGATAATAACTGTGATCATGATAATGATTACAAAAAATATATATATACTCTCATGCTACGAGTACACATGTTCACATACACACACCTACTAAGGCTATAATACTCACGAGTACTTTCCAGAGGCAACGATGGCGCCCTCAGAGCCGTCAGGTGAGCCGGACTCCGAGGCGGTGATGCCGTCGCCAGTTTCGATGTCGAAGTTGTACCTGCCGTCGTCCTCGTGGACTCGGTTGTCCCTCAGGATGGGCACGACCTCAACTACCTCAAGTACGCCCCTTGTGGAGGGGTCCGGAAGAGTGTAGCCATTCTGAGGGGCCGCGGCGGCCACAGCAGTGATAGCAATGAGAATCGCCTGTGGAGAGTGCATAGATGTTGTAATTGCACTTCTTATATTACCGCGGCCTGTATTTAGCTTTAAAACACACCCCTCTCTCTTCTCTCTCTCATATATACATCTATGTGTGTGCCTACATTTATGTGTGTGTATGTGTACTGATAAATGTATGCATGGGTGTATATATGTAGATATACATATAACGTTTCTGTTTGTGTGTGGATCGTACTCTTCTAAGTGTGACTATCACATTATGTCCATGGGTCCGGAAGAGAGTGGTCATTCTGAGGGGCCGTGGCAGCCACAGCAGTGAGGGCAGTGAGGAAAAATAGAGAGCATGGGCGTGGTATTTGCACTTCATTTTATTTTGCTGCATTTACTAAAGCCAACTCTCCCTCTTTTCCTTTTTACTCTCTCATTCTAAGTATATATATAATACATTTATTCATGTTTGCGTGTGTATGGATGGTACTGTCCTGTGTGTGACATTCACATTCATGGTCAGATTACCACAGCTAGGCATAAGCACAACTTCACAAAACCATACAGAAGCTTCACTCACAAACTTCATGGTCCTCAGAGTAGTAGTGAACTGATGATCTGGTTATGGAGCCGAGACTCTTATATACCGAGGGAAAAGATGCCCTTGAATGGAGTCGCCGTACCCTTCACCTTATATGTTGCTGCTCTTCATGGCTATACGCCTTCAATGTTTATCTTACGAAAGAATGATGTAATAGGAAAAAAAATACTCGTAAACCCCAATTAGGCGATGTGTTTGATACAAAACAAGGTATCCAGATTACAATGATTTACTGCAACGTCAATTGAAGCGTACTAGATTACTGATATGATGTTATTTCTTTCATTCATTCATTGCCAGCCTTACGTTAACGAAAATTTGAATATACCATAAGCAAGTTTAAAAAGTTTAGAAGCGCGTTTCTCATGAGATAAATGTGAATTCAAAAAGAGGGTATAGATGGATGACTACGTTGATAAATCAAATACTGATAACTCTGAGGAATATTAAAATCATTACGCTTACTTAATCATGGACATTTCTACATAATAAAGGGGGGTGTACCTGTACATTTATACACGAGCACATATGTGTGTTTCTGTGTGCAAATGTGTATATAATGGACGTATGCATATTTATATAGTGAGAAATATATATACAAAGAGAAAAAAGGGAAATATATGCATAAACACATATAATGCACCCATACGCGTGTGGCATTAATTAAGGATAAATAGTACCCCCCCCCCTCCACCTTGGGTGATCTACCTGTCTATATATGTATATATGTTTATGTACAGCAATTTAGCTAACTCGTTTTAAGCAAACTAGAAGGGTTTATTAGTTTATCTATTAGCTTACTTTCTCTGCCAAGATACATGGGAGTTGGGCGGTATTTCAGCATTTTTCCTCTCAAACATGAGTTGGGAAGAGGATGTGATCCTGAATATGTGTGTGAGTGTGTGCATTTGTGTACGGGTATGTATTAATGTATTTATATTGTGCGTATATGTGTAAACGTTCTTAAGATACTATATGAGGAAGGAAATGGATAAATACAGAAACAGACTTACAGATACAGCTTTGCACCACGAGTAGTTTTGCACTTGGCTGATTAGACATGCACCCTGTCCTGAAAGCAATAATATTTAGCATATTTCTGATTAAATTTCTAATAATGTCTTGTCGTGGGTTTGCTTTATTAATGTGTTTATATACACATATATGTATACGTACATACATGTTTGTGTATATATATGTGTGCGTGTATGTGTGGATTTGTATGCATGTATATGCGTGTATGTATGCCTGTGTGTATGTGCATGTGTATGTGTGTATATATGTATACAGGTATGTATGTATGTGCGTGTGCGTGTGTCTGTGTATGTGTGTATGTATACATATATATACTTAAATATATGTGTATCAATATATATGTATATATGCATACAAATATACATAGATACACTCACACAGAAATATATATACATATTCATATACATATCTATTTATTTATATGCATATGTATTATAAATATATATTCATTTGTACACGTATACATGTATTCATACATATATATATTTACTAATTTATTTATATATATATCTACATGCATATATATGTACTAATTTTGTATTTATATACATATATAAGTAAAAATGCATATATATACATGTATATATATTCATTTATATATATATATATATATATATTTGTAATATATATGTGTGTGTGTGTGCTACATATACATATATGTTTACATATAAGTATACATAAATGTACATATATGTATACATATATACAAATGCATACATATATACATGATTATATATATATAAACATGTATGTGCACATGTGCATATATGCACACACACATCTATATATATAGATATATACACTCACAATGTATACACATAATTATATACATATATATGTATGTGTGCGTATGTATATACATGTCTATCTATATATATATACATACGTAAATATTCAGGTGTGTTTGTTTTCTTATCACATTTAAATAGGAATTCTGATAGGGAAATCAGGATTTCAGGCAATCTTCCAGATCTTGTGGATAACAGAACATTAGATAAAGTAGTAATAATCACAAAAAGTGTGCATTATTTATTATAAACAAGCTGTTCAAACACACGTCATTCGTTCCGCGAATAAGTTATTTACATATGGGGGGAATCGGTTCTGTAAATGCCTCTTTCCTTTTCAGAGAAGTCTACTGCGGCCTCTGGTAGAGCTGGGGAGGCGCAGCGTCTCTGGTCTCCGCCGCGGCAAGAGCGTCTTCCTCAGCTGCTTTTGCGATCTGCCTGAGCACGAACTCGGGAACCTCATGAGGGAATTCGGGAGCCACTGGCAGGTGGTCACCCTCGGGCTGGAAGCCTTCCTCGTTGGCGACGTATGTGACCTCGATCAGGCTCCCGTCGGGAGCAGTGTACCTGAAAGGGAAAGCTTCATAAATGGTAGCGAAGGATAATTCTACTTCTATGAGGTCACCATAAAGGGACTGACAGTAGTCAAACTATCATCACGACCCGAGTCAAAGTTTTTGATATGTAAACATTAATTTAGGTATAATTAAAATATTGATGGTAACAATTGTAAAACTGTTTCTTATATTAGCATGGGTTATACATACTGTCGTTGATATTGATGTATAGTTATAGGAATAATTTGTTAATGATGAAAATTAAAAGAGTAACACTAACCGTTGCATTAATTTTCCTACTTGTAGTAAAACAATATCTATGACTTAGATAATAGCTTATTATAATAATGATTACATAAAATATACACATGATACGAGTACACATGTTCACATACACACACATACTAAATCTATAATACTTACGAGTACTTTCCAGAGGCAACGATGGCGCCCTCAGGGCCGTCAGGTGAGCCGGATTCCGAGGCGGTGATGCCGTCGCCGGTCTCGATGTCGAAGTTGTACCTTCCGTCGTCCTCGTGGACTCGGTCGTCCCTCAGGATGGGCACGACCTCAACTACCTCAAGTACGCCTCTTGTGGAAGGGTCCGGAAGAGAGTAGCCATTCTGAGGGGCCGCGGTGGCCACAGCAGTGAGGGCTACGAGAATTGCCTGTGGAAAGACAGAGAACATGGACTTGATATTTGCACTTTTTTATATAACCGCAGTTTGTATTTAGTTACAAAGCCTATCTCTCCCTCTCTTTTTCTTGCCTTTTGTCTCTCTCATTCTATATATATAATGCATTTATTAATTTTTGTGCGTGTGTGGATGGTACTGCTCTATGTGATTATCATATATATGGTCAGATTACCACAATTAGTCGTAAGCACAACTTCACAAAACCATAAAGAAGGTTCACTCACAAACTTCATGGTGTTCAGAGTAGCAGTGAACTGATGATCCGGTTATGAAGTCGAGACTCTTATATACCGAGGGAAAAGCTGCCCTTGAATGAAGTCGCTTTACCCTTCACCTCATATGTTGCTGCTCTTCATTTCTATACGTCTTCTATGCTTATCTTGCGAAAGAATAATGTAATAAGGAAAAAAAAAATACTCGTAAACACCAACTAGGT